GTTCAGCAAGTCAACGATAAGACCATATAATATTCCATATATACGTATTCACTATTTTGTTAAACTAGAAAAATAAGATTATATATGTATTTTTCAAAATGTAATCCAAATTTTATTTTTTTTTTCGTTTTAATACATAAAACATTTTTCTTGCATTATCATTTTAGCAAATGATCCATTTGTTATAAATACATGTACATTCAACGATTTCTTGATAGTAAAAACGTAACAAAGGGAAGTAATCAAAAGTTGAACCTGCTTTTGATTGGTTAGTTTGGATCTCGAATTTTGAATTTCGAATCTCGAATCTCGTATTTCGAAACTTGAATCTCGAATGAGCCTTCTGGGCTTTCGTAACTTGCAATTTTGTAATCTCATGACTTTGTTTCATCTTATTTATAAAAAAGAGCTGTACTTACAAACATCTTGAACATGGTAAAAATTCACCAATAGCGAGAAAATCACGAGAAAATTAAATCCGGTCCTCATTTTAGAGTTCTCTTAATCTTTAGTCAATAGCATTTATTCAGTAGTTGTGTCTGCAGTCATTTTGGTGATTGGCAGAAATGTAATTGGCCTTTATAATTACCAAAAAAAAAAACTTTTAAAAATTTTTTTTTTCATACGAGATTTGTGACAATTACTCTTTAAGGAATTATTCAAAGCAAGAGAACAAAATAGGTTTCTTTTAAAATTGGTTATTTTTAAACGGCACATTACAATAAGTGAGCATACGTAATTGGTCACACTTTATTTAAATATTATAATGACAGATATTTAAATTCCAGAATTATATACTAGTATATAAAAAATAGTAAGTTTTAATAGAAACAAAAGAGATGATATCAAACTGATATTCAAATATAATAATTTCGTAGGCCTCATTTAAGAATAAAATACATGCATATCCTTAATTCCTTCCAAGATATTTTATTCCTAAGCAACTCTGCTTAACTAAATGCCTCATATATTCAAAAAAGAGAAGAGTCCATTGAAACTGGTGAACATGAGTTTAGATTGCTGAACATAATCAAATCATAGAAGAAAAGATGACATCGTGGATAATCATTAATATCGATGCTGTTTTAATATTGTTTCATAGTCAATAAGATTTGATTTTATAATACAAATATTAATATAAAATGGTCAAATTTAATTATCTCAAGAACAAAATGTTCATATGGAAAATCATGAATATAATCAACAAATAAGTGTATCTTCTCAAATGAATTGTTCATTATAGAGATATCGAAAGATAACATTCAATTGAAACTTTTGAATCCGAATAGCTTTAACGAGGCCGAGTCTAATTCGAGTGCGCATGACTTTGCGCAGCTTATTAATTTCATGCAGTCACTTGTGCAACAGTACACATTTGCCAAATATTTTGATCTTAATATAAAATTAACATTATCTGTAACTCCTACTGGTCTGAAATTGTGATTTTACGTAAATAATTGGGGGTATACGCTGAAAAGGCTCTAACGACGTCGCCGTTTTCAAATTTTGTAGGCAGTGCATGACGCTGAAAAATGACGCATGACTCGCTTGTTTGTTCAAGACATCCATGGATATTATAATAAAAAGTTTTAATCCCATTTTGGAAAGTGGAGACCTAGGTCCCGTGTCGCAGTAGGTGTTGGCACGAAAAAGACCCTCCCTGCTCGATAGCCCTGAGTGACGAGTATAAGACAATATTTGCAGCTCTCCACCGGAAAGTGGTGGCGTCTCTATATGAGTGAAAAATTCTCGAGAGGGACGTTAAACAGTATACAATCAATCAATCATACATTGAAATTGCGATCGTCGAATTCTGAAACTATCAAGATTTTCAATTATTTTTCTAAATAGGAGGTAAGAAGTTTTAAAGCTAGCAATGGATATGTCCTGTGTTTTCTTTGTCACATTGGCAACTATCTTTTTCTGATACGGTGCCAGCTTGCGCCTCAATTTCTAAGTCACTAATAAACCTGTCCTGTAGCCACCACAATTTTATGCATTGACAGTGAGTGATTTCATGGCATTTTCTGCTTCGAAGCTGCTGCATTAGAAGTGTCGGAATCTATAATAAAATGTTGAAATAATTTACTCTGCAAATACATTCACTTTGGGTAAATGCAAAATTCAATCTGTTATATCAACAATAAATGTACTAAGCATTACCTCTTTTGTTAGGATCTTTGTTTTTACCGTCTTCTTTTATCTGGGCGATTTCTACACTTTGACTAAAGAGCAATTTGAAACATGTTAAACAAATTAGAATATATATGTAATATATAAGCCGTTTTTTAACCTAGCCACTTAATTTCATTTAACAAATTTAATTAAATTATCCAGTTTTTACACCGAAGGTTGAAATTCTATTACTTGACATTCGCTCCGATTTATTAACATTGAGTGAAGAGAGACATTAATACCTTTAGTAAGAAAATATTTTTTTTCATTAAAAGTCCAAAAATAATATTTTTAAAGCATTTAATTGAAAGGCTCTTAAGAAAAGTTAGTTCTTTTTAAAATATTTTTTTTAAAAATGAAATTCAAATAATTAAAATGTTATTCAGATTAATTCAGGGTCGGGTAAATTTAAACACATTTTTAAAACTGTGTTTCAATCACAATATATTATTACTCTACCTTGAATCATCATTTCCTGGAAAAAGAAAAAAAATTCACTAGAGTAAATGCTTCAAATTTGTGACTAAAGCGTAATTGCTTAGGATGTAGTTGTAATTCAACGCCAATAATTGGTACAGCTTGATAAAGTTACAGAAAACGCATCATGTATATTCAACCAATTTCCCTTTCGACATGCTTACTAAAGTAATTTGTTTTTTTTTCACTATGACTGAAATGAATAAACTTTTGCGACAGAGAAATCTGGCTACAGTGTGATTATACGTGTTCGTTGAATTTTGGTATAATTAAATGCCAACATTCCAAAACAAATCTACCAACCTTTGTCTGTTACTATAGATCCATGTACATGTTCAAGATCCTCAACATTGTCATAATGGGAGACTGTTGCCGTTCTACAAAACAGTATGAGGAATAGTGCTTCATTACAAGAAAATGTTATGTTGTTATCTTAATACAAATTACTGACTTGACGTTTTATAATATGTGTTAAGAATTGATGCATTGATTTAAGTTTATTATTTTTCTGGAGAACCTCATTATTTCTTTCCAAAAAGGACATTAATTCTTTGATATAAAAATACCCTAAAGTTCTCTTTTGTTTTCTTTAACAAATGTCCACTAGCAGAATTCTTTATTACAAAAGTTGTGAATTTTAAACCATTTAAGGGAATGGTTGAGTTATCATCTTATTTGTTTATTTTCTCCATACCCTTTGATAACACTTATAAAATCCTATAAAAGCGTCCTACTAAGGACGGCATATAGATTGGAATAAAAGCACAAAACAATACTACATTTAGTTTAATGCTTTAAGTTAATAAATTATAGAAATGCAGTTTAATATTTTAGCAAAAAGGTTAGACTTTAGGATGAGTGTTAGTATTGGCAGTAGTGGTTATAGTAATAGAAGAACTAATACTTGTATGTTATATAAAGTTGACATTCAAACATATTCCCTTTACCCTTTAACAGTCCGTCCACCTGAAGCAAAGTTAATAATATGTTTATGCTAATATTAAAATTTAAGTTAATCCTTACTATAGTAAGAGGGTATACGAGCTGAGCTCAAATGGATGTTTGTGTCACGAGAGAGAGAAAGAGAGAGAGGTTTTGGTACAATCTATGCAAATATCTTATACATGTAACGGTCGACTTGGGATGCTTTTTCCTCCACTGCACCTGATTCTTTGGCACAACGTGTTGCTCCGCTCCCAATTTGCATTCACTAAAAGAACTTTAAGGCTTAATCAAATTGAGAGTTTAAAACCTAACGAAATCTTTTTTCCTCAAAAATATAAGAAGGATATATAGATAACGAGCAGTAAATAAATGCTTGATTACACATTCATTGTTCTTTTGCCTCCACCTTTCTTTCTAGAATGATTAAATCAGCATATGGCTACGAATCCACAGACCTTTTCAGATTTCACAAGAAAGAGTTTATCTTTACCATCACATGCTTCAAATCCTTGTATTGTTTTCCCGTTATCAATGAATTTCATATTACTTTTCTGTGTACAGTGACACAAATAAAGAAAATATTTCTTTTCCTTTCTATCTTAAAATGTTGAATTATGCTCATATTGTATAACATATTGCGCTTTACCTTACAAATATAAATATTCGTTGAAAAGTGATCACGACATTCCGTGTGAAATATATGGAGATAATATGGAACAGTTTGTCAGCAAAATTGTTTGTCAATAATTTACCTCAATTAAGAAATTGTTCTTACCTAGAGAATACTTTCACGTATTGAATGAAATGAGAGATATAAACCCGTATGCAGGTAATGAATGTATTTTGCTGTATAAGTAAGGGAGAACGACAATTGAAAAGTTAGTCTTCACTTTTGTCATAAAGCTAGGCTGTAAGATTACCATTAACGTTTTTTTTTTCAAGTAAAATATCCAAATATGAAACAGATGTGTCTGACTGTGTGATATCTTTTGTTTATAGTTATTTGAGTGTCCTGCGTCAATATGGTAGACTGACAATTTCTTTCTTAACACTGTAAGGTTATAAACGGAAATTAAAAAGAATCTGTTAAGAAAGAAAGTGTTATTATGTCATTATTTATTGTATTTTATGAATTTTGGGTACATCCAAAGAAAAATAATAAGTTTTAGCAAACCCTGGCTCAATTTGTGGAGTGCTTCTAGTGAAGTAGCTGAAAATGTCAAAACTGTTTACGTCGAGGAAAAGAGCGAACAGATTTGATCTTTACATGTATACTGACCCTTCGACTCAAGTGAGTTAGCAATGAATTCGCCAAAGTATTGTTACCATTTTAATGTATGTCTATTGTTTGGTCATATAATGATATTTAAAAAAAAGTTGATCAGTGTCTTTGGGTTGAGAATTCAATGAATGCAGGCACTCAACTTTTTACCTTACATTCTAAATAAAGTAAATTAAAGGCACTAATTTACCTTTATTGCATCTTTTACACAAAAATGCAAATATTGCGGTTCCTAGAACCAGAACTATGATTTGGATGACGATGATGATAATTGTCCAATTCACAACAGACCCACGTTTCTTCTCGTCAAACGTGCTATTAGCTGTTCAAATAAAAGAAAATAATAATGAATTATAATTCCTTGATTTATTTATTTTACATTTGTTTTGGATAAACATCACAGATTAAAAAATCGATTTTTATGGGATACTTTTACTGTAATTCTTAATGAAATTTCCGATCCAAATACACCATGCATTTAGAAAATGAATGTTTTTGGCATAAAAAGAAGTAAGTAAAGACTTAATGTTTATGAATTTTTCAGCAATTATGTAATTTAATGTGTGTGGGGTTTTTTAGAACTTTGAATTCAATTCTCAAATTAGACAGACATTCTTTATCTCCTCTGTTATAAAAAGATTGGTTTTATATTAAGAAACATTTCACGTCAACGGTGCATAAGTTGCTATGTATTTTATGGATTCAATTACATATGATCATGAGTTTAGATTTTGAAGAGGAGAAGGGGAAAAAATACTTCATGTATTCTGTTTTTATTTTCTTATATATATTTTAAAAACTTTACACATAACATACTAAATTTTAAGAAAAAGACCTTCCAGAGCAGTTTTTTTTTAAATACCTACGAAATTAAATTTTCTTAGGAATCATGTCATATGATAAATAATTGTGGAAGCTAGAACAATTAGAAAAGGTATTTGTAGTAGTACCAGCATGGGTAGTAGATGAATCGGTAGTTATATCTGTATTAGCAACAGTATTAACTGTAGTTGATAAATCTGTGGTGGAAGTAGCGGTTGTACAAGTGGTAGGGGTAGAGGTCGGTCCTTGACATTGAGTGATGGTGGTGAACACGGTACTGTCACATTGATGGGCGATGAAACTGGTAGCCTTCTTGTATCTTCCTTGGCTGACGGCTCCCTGATAGTCTGCGTCGTCAATGGAAGTAATATTAACACCTAAAAAACATTATGCCTAGAAAAGTAAAGATAGGAAATAACATGAGTTACACAAAATATTAAAAATCTGTTCTTATTTTTTCTAGCAAATTGACAAGGAAAATATTTAGATACATAAATGGATTTCCCGGAAAAATGTACTAGTCCTGAGAAAAATTTACAGTGAAGTGATTAAATGAAGGTTTTCACAAACAAGGAGAAAATTTTTTAAAAAAAATATTACCAAATACAAAAATATCGATCGAGGTATTGCACTGTAATACTGATATATATTCTGTAAAATTGGATCCACAAGTTCCCCCGTACGTAAGTACGACAAAATAGTTCGTTGCGTCAGCACGATCTCCATTCCCCGTGGTAAAGAAGTCCTGTTGTGTGTATGTAATGGCCTTCTCTACACAGCGCTGAGTTCTACTATAGGCCGGGTTTCTTTGGGCAATGTTTTTGGTAGCACTCATCAGGTCTGAAGCAGTTGAATACTGCTTCAGCGGAAAAGCGGTTGCGGCTCCGTCACCATACGTCACAACCCCTACTTTTATCGCATTGTCGCCAATAACCATTTTGTTGACAAGACTGACAATGAAGGTTTTCATTTCCTGGAACATAGAAGCGCTGATTGTGTCTGTATCATCAATTATGAAAGCTACGTCGATTTTGCAATCTGAAAAATAATTAAACCACATGTTATTAAAAAAGTAGTTTTAAATTATGGGTACAATGACGTACCAATTGCGTCCCATTATTAGCAGACCTATTTCTGTTTTCTTGTGAAGCAGAAATTGTGCAAAATATTATGCCTGAAAAGAAGAAAACACTTGCTGTGGCCTTTAACTCAACATTTTGATATATCGACGACGTATTATCAATTTACAATAGTAATTTCCATTCGTATGTCGATACGATATATCCTGGTGAGCTTGAGATAAAAGATACCACAGAGTCTGACATGTCTGTTTCATATTTGGATATTTTACTTGAAAAAGACGTTAATGGTAATCGAACAACCATGCTCTATGATAAACGTGATGACTTTAAAATTTTCAATCGTCAACTTTCTTTACTTATGCAGCAATATACCTTCATCACCTGCATACGGAGCGTATATATCTCAGTTGATTCGATACGCAAGAGACTCCCTTACGTATGAGCAATTTCTAAAACAAGGAAAATTAATGACAAAGATGCTGATGAAACAAGAATTAGCAGTCAGTTTAAAGTTATCATTTTGTTCTATTGTCGATACAATGACCTTGTCAGAAAATACAGTTTATCATTGAGTCAAATGCTGACTGACGTTTTCATACTAATTGTAAGTCCATTATTAACACTGAATTGACGACGGATTTTCCCGTTATTTCCGAATCATGACAAGGACCCACGGCAGGGTGTGACCGGTCGGCAGGGGATGCTCAACAAAATATTTCATATACATGTCTCATCATGTGTATTTTTCCCATGTGCATTTTAAAAACATGACCATTGTAAAGTTTGCTTTTTCACCTTAAAGTTGAAAAATCTAATTTTAATCTTTTCAACTCTAATCTTGATTTTTAGTTCTTCGTATGGCTTAAATGCGCAAAGACATCTATTTGAAGTTAATATTTTCTCAAATTTTCTGTATAATATCACGACTTATATATTGCAATAGTATTTCAAACTAAGATATAATAAATCTCTTTTTTCATCCCGAAGTTATTGAAACTGCAAATTTCTGGACAGGTTTGATTGACAAAACCTTGCACTTTCACAAATTATAATTTAAATCTTATGCACCTTTTTGTGTTACTAGTATATTCATATACTTTGTACATGGAAACGTACTGCCGTTTTACATATATACTTGTAATTACAATGAAAGAAAGCAAAATATTAAATTAAGGTGAAATGAAGAATTATTGTTTGTATTAGTAGCATGTGACATGTATATACTGTTGATTCATCCTGTATTTCAAACAGCTAATAACGTTTTTTTTTCTTTAAAGTTATTCTCACATATTAAGCAAAATATGTGACAAATCTATTGAATAGGTCTAGATGAAATCCTGTCATTCACGATTTGTATGAAGTTTTTTTCTGATACTTACTAGTATGTAACATTAAGATTAACGGAGGCAATTAAGGGTTTAAAATTATAATTTATATGCAAGGTCATAGGGAAGGTCAGAGAAAACAAATGACACAAATACTCATCAATCTATTTCTGTGTATTTATTTTGTATTTATAAAGTTCATAAAAGTTCAAAATAATGAAAAACAGCTGCGGGAAATTTTGAATAACCTATTTTAAAGTTAGAAAAGCCAAGATTAAATTTTGAAATAACATCATTTAATTTTGAAAGCCAATATTAAATTTAGAATATCATACTTTTAAGTTTGAAATACCAACTTGCAATTACCTTCTTTAAAGGGACATGGACACAGTTTCAACTGAATTTTTAAAACCAATTTTAATGCTTACAATTCCTAACTAAGGCATCATTTAATGATCAGCAAAAATTTGAATATCATTTATTGATTAACAAATGAGTTACAGAACTGAAAGTTCTTCAGAATGTAAACAAGGCTCGTGTCTTGTTTTTGTTTACGTATAGAAAATATCGTATTTATAACAAAATGAAATTCAGCAAATCACTAGAAACTGTCTTATTGTATTTAGAATTAACTTATTTATTGAAATTATTTGCTTTGAACGAACATATATAAGTCTATTAATCTATGTAAACAAAACATGACACGGACCCTGTTGACATAACAAAGGTTTGGAGCTCTAAACCTGTCGTGTATCTCGACGACTGAAGTTCAAATTTTTGATTTTCATTAGAAAGACCTTCGTTAAATATTTTTCAAAGTAGAAAAAAGAAAATTGAATTTTTTTAAGCTGAAACTGTGTCTATGCCCCTTTAAAGAAAATATACTAAGTATTACGTATCACTGATACGCTTCTGTGATTTTATTACAGATTTATGAAAATTTGAATGTAAAACAGGAATACCTTGAGTTCTTCCAATGCTTGCTTCACATGAAGTGATTTTCTCTATAAACTGTTGTCTGATGGTCATCAGGTTATCATATGAATCGGCATTTGTATATCTTGTGTAGTTACCACAAGAATCAACAGATTCCTTGTATTCGGATTGAAAAGATGAACCGATATCTGCAATAATAAAACTTTTAGTAATCACTTATTATTTTAATAATTCTATTTATTGTCCACAAACTTCATAGTTTGTAGAAACTTACGAGCTGCAAACACAAAATTATTCCCACTGGCCCTGATTTCGCGCGACACAGCAGCTGTTTCACTGTAAAATGGTCCCACAACAAAAACGTAATGGTTATTGGCATCCTCACGATCATCAAGGGCAGTAAACACGCTGTCCCGAGCTGTAATTAATCCTTGGTATACAAAGAGATCAGAGCTAGTTCTGACAGGCACATTTTCGATTGCTCCCCTTGCAGATTCAGAGGTTGTATAAGTCATAAGCCCAAACTCTTTTGATGCCACGGAATCATATGTGACAAACCCCACTCTTACCCCATCAGAAGATATTGGAATATCCTCCATTAATCCAGCCAAAAACGTTTTTGAAAAACGCATGTTATAGCGTTCAATTATAAATGCAATGTCCAGTTTGCAGCCTGAAAAAGATATGAAAATGGATTGTGGGCATTGTATAAATGGAAGCAACTTTGCCGTTTGAAAATTTGCACACACACACACACACAAAAACAACATTATACAAGACAACTTTAACGTATTTAAATAAAACCTAAACACTATCAGTCCAGTAAAAATTGGTTTTGAATTTGTATCTGTTATAGATAATTACAGTGAAACATATGGAGATGCTTTCTTTTATTTCCCTGCAATCTCTTTAAGTGAAAGGAAAAGTTTGTGCTTTCAAAATTCAATGTTTTAAGCAGTTATGAAATTGGATTAAATTTTAATCTAGTTTATAAATTTGATAAACCATGAAAGAAAATAACACGAAGGAGGACCATTCCGGAAATATGACTTCATTAACTTAAAAAAGCCAAAAATGACTCATTTCAGGGTTACTTCCTTTCAAAAACAGTACCTACAGTTGTCAACCACTTTTTTTTTAGATGCATGTGCTCTATATATTATCTGAAAAAAAATTCCACTGAAAATTGATGTATTCTGCAACTTTTTTTATAAAATACAGAGAAATACACAAGCTCATAATGTCACAATAACCATTTAGGAGTTCAGATGAGAAATGTGATTTGTATATTCTGGGCGAATGGAATTCCTATGATACAGAAAGGATAATTTTCTTATTTATTGCATCACTTCTATATTTTAGAAAAATGTATTGAAACCTTATGTTGATGTTTTCGTTAACTGTTCAAGGTGATGAGAATTAATTTTATTCAGTTAATTTATATTTCAATCGTCAACTACCCTTACTTATTCGTACGTATATACGTAAGTACAATTTCTAACACGAGGTTAGTTATTGACAAACAAGTTATTGAAACAAGAGTATCAACAGTCTCGTTTAAAGTCATCATTTCGTAAGTTCTATGATATATACGATGACCTTGTAGCGAATACAATTTATCATTGAGTGAAATCCTGACAAACGTTTTTCCTATTAATTGTAAGGCCATTATTTGTGCACTGAATTGACGACCTGATTTTCCCGTTATTTCCCAACCATTACAAGGACAACACGGTGGATGTGACCGGTCGGCAGAGGATGCTCACTCCTGCATGACACCTGATCCCTCTCTGATGTTTGTAGGTTCATGTATGCTCTGCTCCAATTTTGTTTTGTTTTATGGTCTTTTGAGCTTGAATACTGTTTGTTATCTCTATATATTTTATTTACAACTTTTGCCTTTTTTCACTTTATGTTTAGCTCGATTTAAAAAGATCTCATTCGAGGAAACTGTCGCCAAGTACCGCAGTAGAAATCAAACCCGCGATGTATTACATGTGTAACTTCTTACCCCGTGCCTCTAGAAAAAAAAACTTGACCCACTTCACAACTGTACCTTTCACAAGCAAACATATAAATAGCCGAAAATGAACATGTGTAATATAATTAAGGACCCGTTCTTGGCGGACGGAAAGATATCATTAATTAGTTTAATAATCTAATTATGTAAGTCATACATTCTTATGATATTTGTACATACCTACTGTGACGGGATCGGGGAGAGGTGTTGTTGGACAAACAGCGATTTTCTGTAGAATATCATTGAATTTCGGATATAGATCTGAAGGGGAGCTCACTTGCCAGTATCTGCTGTCATCTCCAGCAATCGCCTTAAGTTCGGTGATCAAAGTTGAGGAAGGATTAATGCCTGTAATTGCGATGGGTTTAATAAGAACAGAGTAGAGTTTCAAAACAATTCTCATCAACTGTTGTATTTTCGTAATTCAGAAGTAATGTAAGAAATTCAAATTTATCCTTTAATTCTGAAATATTGAAATTCCATGCATTTAAAAATCTTTTTTTTTCAAATATGACCTCTAAATGCTTAGTGTGACATCAAAGACATGTGCATTTTCCCATAGTTTCTTTTAAAGTTGCAAAAGACATAAATTTTCAATAGAATTTTCTTTCAAAAAATATACAGTGCATCTATCGCCGACGAAGATTTTTAAATACACAGTATATCCAAAAATTGAAGTGGGTGACAGCTGTAAACAAAATTTTCTAAAGGAAATTAAGTACAGAAATGAGTCACCCTGAGGATTTTCTGAATAAAGCTTAGAAATGTACCAAATTAATGACGTCTTATTCCCAGAATGGCCCTCCATTATGTCATACTCTTTAATAATTTGTCATGTTCACTTACTCAACTTATGCTAAAGCCAATTTTATAACTTTTTAAGAAAATTAAATTTTAAAGAACACTAATGACCAAACCGTACCTTCTTTGGGAATATTCTAAAATATCAGAGACACGGATGATTATATTTAAAGGTGTTTGCATTTTAAAAATGAGTTATATACACTGTATACCTTATAGACGAGAGTGTTATTATTTGAAATCGGAATATCATAAAGGTTTTTGATGATATATATTATGGCACGCCAAATTCACAAAAATGAGATAAACCTAGTTTCACATTTGATAAACTAGGTTTATCGACTGTAAACTATAGTTTACAAACCGTAAACTATATATTAACGATTCGTTAAGTATAGTTAACGATTCGTTAAGTATAGTTTTCATCTGTAAAACTATATTTAACGGTTGTTAACTATAGTTTACGAATGATAATCTAAGTTTATCTGTCTGTAATAAGCGTTAACAATAGATTTTGTTGATAAACATAGATTCACGTTTGTAAACTATAGTTTACAATCGTAAACTATAGTTAAGAGTTGTTAATCATAGTTTCATAAATCGTGAAACTATATTTATCAGATCGTTAATTATAGTTAACGGTTTGTAAACTATAGTTTACAAATCGTGAAACTGTATTTATCAGATAATCTATGTTTTGCAATCGCAAATGATTGTTTTCAGTGTTAAGTATAGTTTACGGTTGTGAAACATAGATTATCACGTTAACTATGGTTTACGGATGTAAAATATAGATTAATGTTGTTAACTATAGTTTACAGTCCGTAAATTATAGTTTATAACCGATAAACCTAGTTTATCGACTGTGAAACTATGTTTAGCTCATTTTTGTGAATTTGGCGTGCCATAATATATCACATTATTTATTGGAAAAAAGAACTAGCTATACTAAAATGTTTACAATTAGATGAAGTGCAAGTTGAATAATACTTGGAAAAAATTATCAAAAACTGTAAAGAACTGTTATAAAAAGCATATGAACACAACAGGTTTTAAAACCTTTTATAATTTGTTTAGGTACATTGACCCTTTTCCTATGCCAGAGAATATTAATTTTGCTACTGTTCTCCTGCAACATAGTTTTAAAAAACCGAATTATTTAGCTAAAATTAAAAGCTTCTTCCAAAGAGTCTAAAATATTTTAAAAACTAGTGCTAATTGTAACGGGGACCGTTACAGATGTTCCCCAAACGCTCCCCAAATCCCTTTTTGTGCCAAATTCCTGTAAGACATTTTTAAAAATATGATCAGTATCGAAGTTTTTCATCAAAGAATTATAAAAGCTGCAAAGATATCAACTATATGTTCTTTACGCATTGTACGCGCAAGCACGTGCATGCACATGCAAGATGAATATGGTATGATGATGATGTCTAAACAATAGTATATCTATATATCGTAAGAATATATAAAAAAAATTCTTTACAATATACATTTTACTGTTTTTTAAAAAATATTGGCCATTTTGCGTATTTCGCGCGTGCACTTGCATGAATGCCTGTTCGTGCATTCATTTTGATAGTACAATAATGTAGGAATCTTTTATACCTATTTATAGTTTAAATTGTATCCCGTTTCGTTGAAAACTAAGAAAGTTATGGACATTTAAAGTTTCAGCCAATCAGATTGCAGCACACGTGCATGCGCATGCTTTTCGTGATAATTCTTATATACCATGCTGTAGATCTTTATAATGTATAACCATGTTCAAAATTTCAAAGGATTTTGTCGAAAAACAAGAAAGATATTGATACTTTAGTTTCAGCCAATCAGAGCGAAGCTCACGTGCATGCACGTGAGATCTTGCTAATTTGACCATGTCCTCTTGACTATGCTTCTAATATATCCTTATATTATGAGTTTCAAAACATTTCATCAAAAATATAAATAGATACGTCTATATCAATTATATTGGACATTTCTGGTGTTGCACGTGCGCGCTCTTGCAAGCACACGTGAATGCACATGCTTTCAGGATAATTCTTATATATCATGCTAAAGATCTCCGTAATTTATGACTATGTTCAAAATTTCAAAGGATTTTGTCAAAAAACAAGAAAGATATTGAGACTTTAGTTTCAGCCAATCAGAGCGAAGTGCACGTGCATGCGCGTGATATCTTGCTATTTTGACTATGTCATCTTGTCTTTTCTACTTATATACCCTTATATTTTGAGTTTTAAAGCATTTCATCAAAAATTGAAAAAGTTACGGCTATATTCATTAAATTGGTCATATCACGTGTTGCACGTGCACGCTCTTGCAAGCACGTGCGCGCAAAATGACCTTCGTTCCGCAAATCTACATAACATGCCTAGTGACCCTAAAAAGGTTTCACCTTAATCAAATGTGTAGTTTACAAGATCATTCGCGGAAAAGATTTTCCCAGGAAGAAGAAAAATAATAATAATAATAATAAGAAACAGAGTAAAAACAATATGTTCCCCAACTTCGTTTGGGGAACATAACTAGTTGCTCAATAAAATAAATGAGTGAATTAGACACAAATAGGTTAAAATCTGCAACAAAAGATGAACACCCTATTTTATTTACATGATATGTATACATGTGTACAAAATACTGTAAACCAATTATTATACGCGTCATTTTTTATTCGCGACTGACCGCTAGAGAACTAATCCGCGACGATTTATTTCCGCGAACAAGTGGTCACATTTTTTGTTTCAAATTAAAATTTTATATCCGCCCATAAACTAAGTAAAATGCTACCGTGAGTACTGCTTACGCATTATTCAAGACATTCTGTGCATTGCGTCCATTTAAAATCTTATATCCGCTCCTAAAGTGGGTAAAATGTTACCATGAGTATACTTCTTACGCATTATTCACGACGCTCGGGAATCGGGAAAAAAATCTAGGAGATTAAAGTTGATTTAAAACTCTCGATTGTAAAAGTGCCTCATACTAATTGGGTAATCTACGCTTTCTAAGATCTACATAGCCAAAGGGCAATTATTATAAATGGTTGGGACAGAGCAGGACAGGACCATAATTAGTCGTAATTAACCACGCTATCTCTATCTCGTCTTTGACAATAAATGAACAATAATACATGTAACACAAGCTGAAATAATTATTGACATTTTAATCATTTTTAGACAAAAAGTTTTAGATTTGCCATTCGTTTTTATATTTTTTCTGAATGTTTGTAATTAAATTTCAACTGCTTCTAGTACACTAAAGTTCTTCCGTGATTACTTATTGAACCGTCGGGATTTGTATTCAAAAAAGGGCAAATAAATCTAATCATACCACATGGGAATTATTAATGAACAACTGGTTACTGTATTACATGTAAGCCAACACGTGAAATTTGGTAGAATACCCAGTCTGATATAGGTATTGGTATTCATTATTTGTAAATATTTATCATCATCCTAGCTTCAGATTCGCATTAAATTATAAGCTGTAATTTTTACCAATTGTAAAAACTTGATTCTTTGAGATTTGTTGAATAGCATTTGCCACAACTAAACCGTTTGGAGAATGTGTTTTAGAGATAAGAACAAAATGTCTGTAAGCTTCAAATCTGTTTCCATTTGCCAATGTAAAGAACTCGTAAAATCCGACACGTAAAGCTTCGGCCAGGTCCACAGAGGAAGAAGCATTTGATATTGTTAATGACGTAATAGCACTGTCCAGCGAAGATGCATAAGAATGAGAGTTAAACTTAATATTCTGGTCCACTGTATCGTCATAGGTTATAACCCCAACTTGTATATCACTCGTTGAAATTTTCAGCATTCCCGCCAAATCGCCAATGGCCGATACTAATGCTGAGTAAATGGAGGAGGTGTGTGAGGAAGCCTCTATGATGAATAAAATGTCGATTGTGCAAGTTGAAACTAAAAGAGATTTGAAAATATTCTTAAGACCTGTATCTGAAACATTTTGTATTAAATTTATATGAGAAGGAATCAAACGGTATTGGTTTGACTTTTACATGTACCTGAACAAACCAATGGGTATCCAGACCAAATCTGTCCAAACCCACAAGTACGTTGAGTGTTTCCTGCAGTTTGTTTGTATCCGGACGCACATGCGTATGTGCTGTTTTCATAGCAGCCAGTCTTGTCAGCAGTGATGTCAACATTACCGTTTTTCCCCTGTATGCAAGAAACATCTGAAAGCATTGAAAGGGAATTTGATACAAGTGCAAAATACATATATATCCAGCATGATCATATTTTCATATACGTTTCACACAACTACTAGAAAAATAAGAAAAAATCACTGAACATGCTGAAGCAGTATATATTATCATATTACAAACCGTCTGGAAATCTCCATTCGCCGCCTGAACCCCATCCTGTCTTGATCAAAATATAATTGGCTCCGAAGGGAGAGGACGGCGTACAGCTCAAGATCATATAACTGCCGACTGTCTTACCGTTGCCCGCACGGATATCTCCGGACCATGAAATCCAAAACTCATCAAAGAAGGTTTGGTCCAGAATATTCAGCGTGTGCGAGTCACATTCTGTACCATCTATACCATACCTGATGACAGATTTGGTATTTGCCCATCCCCCAAAAATGATTTCATAATGTGAACCACAGTTATCACAATCGGCAGTACCGATGGCAATGTGTATGTCATTGTTTGCTCTTGCTCTGAATTTCAGATATGTCCTCCCCATGGCTACCAAACAGTTGGACGTCAAACTAACGTAAGTTTGGTCGTCTGGTGTAGTTTTGCTGATTTCTGTGGATGCTATTAAACAGGAATGGTAAAAATGTGAAGGTCTTAAAATAATCAGAGAAAAAGCATTCTAACATTCATTTTCAATTTGTAATTCATTGTAAATATTCTTTCATTAAAAGCTTAGATTCATTTAATATGGATTTTATTTTGCAATTTCCGCTTCTGTGATTTCAGTATGATAGAACAACTTCTGCAAGTTTTTTTTTATATATTTCGTCGTACGTGTTAACAGTTTAAGATTTGCTATGATTTTTTAATCTTCTCTGAAACCACTGAATCACTTTTCTCCAATTTGGCAAAGAGGATATATGGGTGAACAGTGGTTAAGGGAAATAAAAATTGTGAATATCATGGTTTCTGCCCCTCCCCTCCCCAGGGGCCTGTGGGTCTTAAATAAACCATCACAATAATTGTAATCTTTGAAAAATCTTCTTCTTTGCTCCTGGACATCAAGTACCAAAACTATTTGCATGATTGTAATAAGCATAAAGCCCGAAATTGTGATACCCATGGGCCCTGGGTTATGGGTTCTAATGCAAGGACGGGGCTCTAATTTTATGTACTGAAAATGCATGAATTGTTTGAAATTTTCTCTGCATATCTCCTTCTTTGCTCCTAGACATCAAGTACCAAAACTGTTTGCATGATTGTAATCAGCATTGATTCCGAAATTGTAATACCCATGGCCCCTGGGTTATGGATTCTAGTGTAAGGACGGGGCTCTAATGTTTATGTACTGAAAATGCATAAATTGTTTGAAGTTTTTCTCTGCATAATATGGTAGTTAAAGCAATGATCGAACTATGTACATATTTATGACGAGGAAGGATGCCTCATTTCAAAATTATGATTTATATTAGGGCGAGGCTCTGTAATGATTAAATTGTAAAAATGAATAAATTGTTTTAAATTTCCTTATTTGCTCTTGGATACTAGTATTAAGCAAATAAACTCTGTTCATATTTAGGACGCCTCCTCCGAAATTGTGATTTTCATGACCCCTGGGTCAGGGATTCTGGTGCTAGGACTAGGCTCTAATGATTATACAATGAAAATGCATTGTTTGATATTCTTCTCCTCTGTTCCTGGGTCTCAAACCCATGAACAATGTTTCATAGTTTTAATAAGGAAAGATGTTTGCTTTTAACTTGTGATTTTCACTAACCCTGGGCCAGAGGATCTAGTGTTAGGTTGGACTCTTATAATTACACTTTGTATATTGTGAAATTGCATCGATTCTTTGAAAATATTTTCCCCTGCTCCTGGGTATTGAAGAGATGAACTATGTACATAGTTATAATAAGAAAAATAACGGATTTCATGGCCCTGGGTCAGGGATTCTGTTGTTTGGACAGGGCTCGAATAATTATATAGTGAAAATGCATAAATTGTTTGATATTCTTCTCCCCTGTTCCTGGGTATTAACCAATGAGTTATGTTCATAGTTACTATATAAGTAAGGATGCCTCTTTCAAAATTGTGAATTCTATTGCCTCTGGGTCAGGGGTTCTGGTGTAAGCTTTTAGGGTGCTGCTTTAATGATTAGAGTATAACTGCATGAATTCTTTGAAAATCTTTTCCTCTGTTCCAAGATATTATGCTGATGATTTAAATATATTGTCCTAAGTACTAATTATATACTGAAATGATGTAATGCTTTGAAATTCGCTCCCTTCCAAAATTGTGAAATTTGTGGCCATAGGATCAGGGTCAGAGGTTCCTGTGGGATAGGTGGCATAACTGATTATTGCTGAAATGTAAATTTATGCTCACATGCGCAGCCGTCCAGGAGGCAAGGTATGGTTTGTGTAGGAGTAGTCCCCCAGCAGCTCCCTAAAGGCCTTAGACACTGTCTGGTCCTCTGTAAGTTTTGTGAAATGCAATCAGCTGGACATGACGACCATGACTGCCAATTCCCCCAAATTGCTATGAATATCATAAATAAGCAAATTCAGAAAATATTGGTCCTTTGCATCTTTCTAGTTTGGGTGCAAGTCCATGTATCTATGGAATATTGTTATTGCCTGAAGGTCTTGTCTGCATATTAAACTTTTTAAAAATGGTGTAATCTATTCTGTTGCAAAACTAAATACCAAGTTGAAGTTTCATGGTTTTTTATCATGAGGTAAAAAGTCAATGTACACCTTTAGATTAGAAAGGTCTCTTTTTAGGTACTAGTGTATAGAGAAAAAGAATTATAGAAGCCCCGGCATTTTGGTGCAAAAGCTAAGGTCAAATTGAAAACAGTTGAAAAGTGTATCAAAATTATGGATGGAAAATAGACTGAACGATCAGCATCTTCCCTTGCTAAGGGGTTGTGACCTGCTACCCATGAACTTTGCTGCTAACCATGGACTGATTTACGTCAAATGATCTCCGATTTTTACCAGATACATATTTTACCAACATATTTTGTCATATACAGATAATTATCTAGCGGCCTCAAACTTCTAGTATGTATTTGGCGGCAGCCAGATATCCAGATATATTTTTCTACCTGGCACTAACCGTTTTCCACATGGAATTAATTATCCTAAATCACAGAATATATATATAAGGTATGTACATGTACCTTTTCATTGGGTAAGTCTGAGCTTAGAACCTTGTGCCCAGCTCAAGGTTTCCTGTGATAGCGAATAAAATAGTTTGTTCAATATTCCTCAGATATGTAGCTTTCGGTAGACCGCCTTTATTGCCCTGGATTGCTCTTGAGTGGTTTAGAGAAAGGAAATTGAATCTTAAGCTGTGGGTTAGATTAAATCCCATCACCCATGCAAGTGTTGATCAAGTAGGACTTCTAGTTACTTGGGAATACACCTGCTCCCTTAAAACTTTTATCTAGTCGCTCAACTGGAAATCTAGGTTACAGATCCACCAGCCGAAGCAAGTGTGACAGTGTCCATTCATGGCATTTGGTCAAGGTATGACTTACAGTTACTTGGGTATTCACCTGCTCCTATAAACTTTAACCGGGACACTGACGCTAACACCGACGCCGGAGATATTGCTTTAATGAAACTTGGAGATGAAGAACAGTATTCAATATCAAAAATCAACAAAACAATACAAAACAGAAGCAGAGCAAACACGGATTTAAACAAAATCAGAGGTGGGATCAGTTGCCATGGAGGAGTGAACACCCCCTGCCAATCGGCCACATTCGCCGTGTGCTCCTTGTCATGATCGGGAAATAACGGAAAATTCGTCGTTATTTCAGTGTAGAAATAATGGACTTACAAGAAGTATAAAGAACATCAGTTAGCATTTGACTCAATGATAAATTGTATTTGCTGACAAGTTGATTGATTGACCATTGAACTTACGAAATGATGACTTTGAACAAGGCTGCTCTGATATTCTTGTTTCATCAACCTGTTTGTCAATAATTAACCTCGTTTTAAAAATTGTTCATACGTAGAGCATGCTCTTGCGTTTCGAATCAACTGAGATATATAAACTCTGTATGCAGTTGATGAATGCATATAGCTGCATTAGTAAGGGAAGTTCACGATTGAAAAGTTAGTCATTATATTTATCATACAGCTTGGTTGTTAGATTACTTCTTACGCCTTTTTTCAAGTGACAAGGATATGGAGATAACGAACAGTATTAAATGTCAAAGTCCATAAAACAATACAAAATTGGAGCAGAGGAAACACGGACCTCCGAAACATCAGAGGTGGGATCAGGTGCCAAGGAGAGGTGAGCACCCCCTGCTGACCTGTCACACCCGCCGTGTGCTCCTTGTCATGATCGGGAAATAACGGAAAAATTCAGTGTATAAAAATGGACTAACAATAAGTATGAAAAACGTCAGTCAGCATTCGCCTCAATGATAAATTGTATTTGCTGACAAGGTCATTGTAGCGACCATAAAATTTACGAAATGATGACTTTAAACGAGATTGTTGATATTCTTGTTTCATCAATTTACTTGTTAATAATTTGCTTCGTTTTAGAAATTGTTCATACGTAGAGCATGCTCTTGTGTATCAAACCAATTGAGATATTTAGACTCCATTTGCGGGTGATGAAGGTATGTTGCTGCATAAGTAAGGGGAGTTGACGATAGAAAAGTTAAAGTCATCACGTTTATAATATAGCTTGGTTGTTAGATTAGCATTAACGCCTTTTTCAAGTAAAATATACAAGTATGAAATAGATGTGTCCGACTCTGTGGTATCTTTTATTTCTAACTCATCAGGATATATCGTATCGACGTAGGAATAAAATTGTCCATTGTTAATTGACAATACGTCGTCGATATATCTAAATGTCAAGTTGAGGACCACAAAAAGTGTTTTCTTCTTTTCACGCATTAGATTTTGCACAAATTTTGCTTCATATGAGTATAAAAAAAGGTCTGCTAATAACGGAGTGCAATTGGTACCCATTGGAATCTAAATATGAAAAAGATATTTTAGAGTCTGTGGTATCTTATTTCTCATGCTCACCGGGAAATATAGTATCAACATCAGGATGGAAATTAGTTAATTGACAATACGTCGTCGATACATCTAAATGTCTTCTTTTCATGCATAAAATTTTGCACAAATTCTGATTCACATGAAGATTAAAATAGGTCTGCTAATAACGGGGCGCAATTGGTACCCACGGGAATTTCAATAGACTGTTGGAAGACCTGGCCTCCAAACACCACATAGACATTGTCAATCAGAAACTCACGCATCCTTTAGATGTCGACTTTAGACAAGTCGTAAATTTTTAAGCTGTTGATTTTCGTAAACTTTTGTGATTTCAAATTGTCCAAAAAATCCTTAGAATTTCTAAGTATCCACATCTTATTTACACCAGTTTTATCTCATTTCGACTTCGTCCAGAGACCAAGGATTTTTATACAGTTTTCAAAAAAATCTACAGCCCCCCGACCTTTATGTAAAAAATATGTACGGTGCAGATGCTGTTTCACCCACACAGACCGCTCACCTCATATCACAGGTATCAATATTAACCCGTTGATTGAAGGGTTGCATCAGTAGTCAATGTCAGCAAATGGAACACACGGGGAAACATTTACAAAACTCGTGCGAATGATTTCAAACACTGCTTTTCGTGAAAGGTATGACAAAAAACGTTGTCATTAAAAGAAATATCGAGACAATCACCACGAATCAGGCTCAAAAACCATTGAAACAATATAAACTCTGAGCAGAGCAAGTGACTTGTAGAGGGATCAGGTGCCAGGGCGGAGTAAGTATTCCCTGTCGACAGGTCACACCCGCCATGTGCTCATCCTCATGATCGTAAAAACGGAAAAATCGATAGAAAATTCAGTGTTTAATTAAATGCCTAACAATATGTTAAAAAAACGTCAGTCGGCATTTGGCTTTATGATAGATTGCCGAGGGCACTGCATCGAATGCAAAGAAACTAAAAGTAGAAATTCAAAATTCTATATAAAACATTCTGAAAATGTCTGCCTCGTTTATAATTTTGATCGTTTGTTTTGCTTTCACTTTTGTAATATTTTGATTTACATATTTAAAGGTTGTCCTTTATGTTGAAGTACTCGCTCCGTTATCGAAATTAAAGGTACTTGGACACAGATTTGAAGTTCTTATTTTCTCTATAATATTACGACTTATATATTTTAATAGCATTTCACACAAAAACTAATTAAAAATCTTATTTCGTTTAAAAGATATTGAAATTTCAAATTTTTCGGCGGGTTTGATTGACATATCGTTGCACTCTCACAAATTTAATTTTATTCTTAATCCTTAGGAAAAGTGGCAATCTCGTTTTGTATAAATGAAAAATATTAATACTATAATCCAGAAAATTCAGAGTAGACAAGTTCGATAGCAAAACAAACACACAATATATTGTCAGTCCGTGCAGTTGTGGTAAGCAGACTGTGACGATTGAACGCACTCGGTGAATTCTAAATATAAACAATAACAGAACTCGAGCCCTGTTTACAAAACTGTGTACATAACACGAGTGTGCTCGATTTGCTAAACTCTGCACGCATCTCTTAGTTCGGAATGACGATACTTGTGAAAGTGTTTTGCTATCTAACATTTCTACTCTAAACAAAATTATTTTTCTTGACAAAAGTTTTAATATTTCTCATTAAAACACATCAAAATTGCCACTTTTCGTAAGGATTAAGAATAAAGTTAAAATTTGTGAAAGTGCAAGGATGTGTCAATCAAACCCGCCAAAAAAATTAAAGTTTTAATAACTTTTAAATGAAATAAGATTTTTAATTAATTTTTGTGTGAAATGCTATTAAAATATATAATTCGTGATATTATACAGAAAAAATGAGAAAATATTAACTTCAAATCTGTGTCCAAGTACCTTTAAAGGTCTTGTGGTAGAATTACTGTCGCGATAAAAATACATGTAAGTAACAACTGAAAGTCGCAGTGCCGAGGACCCGTATCACAGAAGCGTTGGTACGATAAAGAACCCTCACTGCTTTATGAATGTCAGTGCTAGGTCTTAATTTGTAGTCCTTTACCGGTATATGGTGACGTCTCTATCATAATGAAAAATTCTGAAATAGGACGAAAAACAATATATATACATGTATCCAATCTAACTACATTTAGTAAGTACTTACATGAGCAGCTGTAGTAATAGATCAGTGTTTTACCACACCCTGAGCACGGGTCTCCACCAAGCCAGGTGTTGCTGGCTTGTATCGTACAGGAGGTGCCGTACCCACACTGAGAGTTCATTCTAGAGGTCACAGACGCGCTACCAGAACAGGAATCACAAGACCAAGTCCCCGAGAAGGCGATGTATTGACTCGAAGAGCAACCTATGGTCGTTGAAGATCCTTCAGAAAGTGTATAACAATCTGAAATGTTATAAGACCTAAGGCTGGCATAAGTTGTACAGAAATCAACTCTTATACATGATATTCTTTATGTTTTGCTCACCTGATCTGAACCCCAAAGTAGGTTTTTTTTTCTTAGTTTTCTTTGTCCGGCTTCTGTGAACTAAAAACATTTTCGACTTTTTCGTAAAACATTTTGTTTATTTCAACCAAACATGATAAAAATTATCATTGGGTAATTGGAATTAAACTTTGTTCAAAGGTCCACGCTTTTTTATTTATTTTGGGGAGATAATTAATATCTTTGATGACGAGTTTAAAAGAAGTCTTCTTAAGAAATACTGGGCCGGAAATTTTGAAAATTTTGAAAATTAGATGAAAGCTTCATACATATATAGAGCATATTCAAATTTTAAAAATCATAATCCCTAAGATATGGATAGGTTCATGAAAGAATTTTAAAATTTACATACTGTACATGTACGTATATAAGAAACAAGAGGCCAATGGGCCACATCACTCACCTTAACTCTTTGTATAGATAAAATCGAAACATTTTTGAAGATTTTTAATATACAAGAAAATTCAGTGAATTTGTGTCCCCTGCTTGAGGAAAAAAGAACATGGGGAACTAGAGGGGCGAAGGGGACACTTTAAGAAAAGCGGGAGGGGCCATAGGGAGTTATGGTATAAAACTTGATTGCAAAAACTCGAAAGCTTCTCGATATATCGCAATGAAATGAAATAATAAAGAAAAATATATAAACAGTTGGACATTCGGCGGGACAGACAGACTGACCGAAAATAATATCACCAACTTTCAGTGAAAGCGGGAGACAAATGTGGTCATAATATAAGGGGAAGGAGGTTCAAATCGTGATACTTGAATCTACATTACCTGAGATTGTTTCCACATTTCTATGACCTGTCGTGGCTTGTAAGCAGATTTTTAAACACTTTTTCTTACATGCATACCTTTTATCTTCTATTCTATTGTTAAAATCTAATCCAAGCATAAAATATAACAATACGATTGGAACGACGACAGACACAAAGAATCTATTCAAACAAGTCGAATTCATTGGAATACACTGTATATTTAGTTTATTGGTTTGAGATTTTCAAATGCGATTTTTTTCAACCTTGTGTACAATTTCGGAGGGTGATAGTATGAGTTAAAAGGTCTCGAAAGTGTTCTCCGAAAATGTTGACGTTTTCCAGGCTTTTTAACGATTTTGATATTTTATGTGCCATGAAAACGTCAGAACCAGCGCCATTTCGAAAACTGGAAATTTCGCCGTCTCAAACCGGAGCTCATTTTTAATGCTTGCGAATCGAACTAAATGCCGAAATTAGAATTTATCAAAAGCGCAATGCCTCTAGTACTCACCAATATCGATGAAAACGAAATATCACTCCACATTTCGTTACAAGTTTGCAAGAATCTAAAATAATCCCGAGAATGCCGCCTCCAGTTAGAGGCGGCGATTTTCCAGTTTTCGTAATGTCGCCGATTCTGGTATATTTATATATATATATATATATATATATATATATATATATATATATATATATATATATATATATATATATATATATATATATTCTGGTAAATATCAAAATCGTTAAAAAAAGTCTGGAAAACTTAGGATTTTTCGGACTATTGAAACTTAAGTGTAACTTAAAAATTATTTTCTTTTTAATTTTTAAACTTATTTAGTATATTTAGAAAACCGTGCTTTATGGATTATACCAGCTGAGCTGAGTTTATCAAACAGATCAGAAATCAATTTAATTATGCATGTATGATCTATAACAACGATAATGTTTCGTTTCTTTACACTTTATATAATAATACTGAAGTTGTACTAACCATTTTCCTGAACTAAAAGCAAAATGAAAAAGATAAGAAAAACACACAAAATCTCCATGTTATAGATCTAAGTCCATTTTTCTTCGATTGACTTCCACAGAAGTATCTAGCTGTTTAATAATATCACGCTGTTCCGGAACAAAACAATTGCACAAAATACAAAGAATTAAATAGAGGGCGTCTTGACATTAAATATAAACAGCGATCTGTATCTTTATTGTGCAAACGGTTGCAAATAAGGAATTGTTCCATCGCGATATATAAACACATGAAGTGATACATATCTTGATTTAAATCAATCTAAATGATAAGCATACATTATTGCATAGGTTGAAAATACAGAATAGTAGTGTAGTCCAGTCATATACCATTTCGGAAGGAACGGAAATTTAAAGGATGTGTTTCATATATATTAGAAGTTAAAAAAAAAACAAAAATGAATACTAATTGTTTTTTAAATTAAATTCAAGGTTCAAACTTATTTAAATACTGGATGTTTTCGCTACCGAAAATTGGCTTTCACTACAATTATAAATGGATTCTTAATGCTGAGTTTGTGGTTAAGTTCTCTTTTAAAACCATTTTACTTTTGAAAAATGCGGAAGTCAACTTTTTCAAGCTCATAGGTATTAGCAAGGATTTTTCTGCAAAATGTTTTGATAGACGAAATACAATTTCTATTGAATGCTGTTTAATTCCCTTGCGTGGGAGAAAAGAATACTCGGATTTTAATCCAGTTTATTTAATATTTTTTAATATAAGGAATCCAAGTTAAAACCCCACAGTCTAAAACCATTGTCCAATGATATTACATTTGTAAAAATATTGAATCCGTCTGCTTCAGAATATTAAATAGGACACTGCTTATTGCTAGCGCTCTCGAGCGCTAGCAACTACGTTAGTCCAAATTCCTTAAATACGCATGCTCGGCTTCACGGTCGTGCATTCTGGGAAAACTGGGAAAACTACAATAGATAGACCGTACGATAACAATTTCGTTGTATCATGTTGTAGCATTAAATAATTATGTTTATTTATTGTATAGCTTACACTTGAAAGATAACTACGTATTTGTAATACTTAAAATTTTCCGGGGTATTTTTCTGACGGAAAAGCCCGAATCATTATCTGATTGTTCTAAACAAAGAACAAGGGAGGTTTTTACGTCTAAGCACAACCAAAGATAGACTCTAATTTCTGATTGGTCAATTCAACCAATCTTACAAATTCCAGAAACAAGATTTTATACTAAAAAGAACGAATAAATCCATTACATGTGTATTTATTAAAAAAAATTCTGATGTTCATGGCTTTTAACCTAATACTTTTTTACAAAGATGACCCAAAGGACCAAGCTACTTCACATTCGGAACTCTCTGGATTTCTTTACACAACATACACTGAGTTATTTTCTATATTCCTTTAAATTCCCCTGTATTTTCTTTGCTACATTACCAACAAATTATATTCTTAACCAGCTCATGCAATGCCTCACTTGGCATTTTCTCCATATTATATAGAGTCTCTCCCCTCTCCGGTAAAGGTCATAAATGTTTCGTTGCAAAACTGCAATAGGTCAACACCAACACCCCCCCTCCCCCCTCATTTCTTTAACCTATGTGCCTAAATACACTTCACAAAACATAACTTTCCAGCCTCAATAAAAATTAAAGATTTCAGCAAAATAAATCACTTGATCACGGATCCTCCTTTCTGTGTTTAAAAATTGCTACGGCGCTAGCTCACCTATCTTTTTTAAAAGATAAACTTGTATCTTTAAAAGTAAATTTTGGGGAAAGGGTAGCCCGAATTTGCTAAAGTTCAAGGGATAATTATGCATTTTTTTCCTACTGTCTTTTTGAGTACACATACATTGTAACTTACAAACAGTGACCTCCCTTCTGTGTATGCCCAGAAAAAGCAACCACAGTTTATTTGATCACTGCAGTGTTAAAATGATGGGGGCAAGTCCATAAAATCAATAAACGTTTTTTAATTTAAATATTTCTTCAAGATTAATGAAATCAATTTCATAAATTTTGCATGCATGTTAAAGAAGAAAATGTTCCTTGAATGCATGTTAAAATGTCTAAAATGTCATCCTATACACTGCATTGACTCTACATATAGACTGTTTTCAGGAAGGGAACAGTCATTATTTAAATATACCCCTTTGATGAGGCCGATCCATATCTGCTTTTCTGTGAAGTCGATATATCAATGGATTGACCGATTTAAAGGGCTACTTTTTATAAATTACTTTTCAGAGATTGACAAAACACAATTTTAAAATAATGGGAACAAGTCACACATTTTCTCACTTTAACATTTCGAGAATAGAAATCAAAAGAAATAAAGCTGTTTACTGTAATTGTATTTTCATTATATTGATAGAGTAATTTAGAAAATTTATTAATTAGAAAAATTAAAATGCATAAATTGTACTACATTGTACATGTACATTTATTTTATTATGTGTGTATCAATTTTTTAAAACCATTTTGAAATTCATTATGTTTTAATTTAAAGTAGATCCTAATTCAAGGCACTGGTTCATCTTTACAATTAGAACTGTCGACATTACAAATATAAATAAAAGTTGAAGGATAAGAGATGGGTACCCAAAAGTGTAACAGACGGACGGACGGAAGGATGGACCGGAATTCCGATAACTGTATACCTTACCACTTTTCAAGCGGGGAGGAGATATAACATTGCAAACTTTTTTCTTAAAAAAGATCGTTGAATGAGAATGTCAAAAATTTGTGGCAAGTCATCATAAAAATTATGTCAATATGAGATAAAGATTAAATTTTTGAGAATTCTTGAGGTTCATGAACTATAACGTTTCACATCTGCATGTTTATCAGTTAGCGCTAAAGATAAATACCATGAAATACTGGAGACGGCGTAAAATGTCGTAGTTCATGTCCTCATGAATTCTCAAAAATTAAAATTCATTTCTTAAATAATGTACAGCATTTTCGAAGGGATTACTTTTCGTAGAACCAATGAAGTGCACGTGGCTTGCTAATAGGTTTCCCGCCATTATTAATTTACAGTACTCAATATGTGACTTGTGTCTTAAGCAGATTTTTAATGAATTTTCTTATACATTTTATCTTCTTTTCTATTGTAAAAATTTGACCCAAGCATGAAACATATGGAGATAACGAACAGTATTCGAGATAAAAAAAAATCCATAAAACAATACAAAATAGAAGCAAAACAAACACAAACCTAAAAAGCATCAGAGCTGGCCTATGGGATCAGTTGTCATGAAGGAGTTAGCATCCTCTG